CTTGCCTCGCTGACAATGCTCAAGCAACAGTAAAAACAGATGGAGGTCCTGACACACAGTCAGATGCTGGAAAAGGAGAGTCTGGACATGAGCCCAGCAGCTTCCTCAGCTCAGCTTTGGATAACGGCTCGGCTTGTTTCTGTTTCCTCCAACAGTTGTAGAGTCATCATTTACAAACTTCTGTGTTAGTGTGATTTATCTCCAGCTCTTTTTTCTTAGCATTTGTCCTAGGCTCCATCATATTGTCAGAGAAACATGGAGACATCTCTGAGGCCACTAGAAGGAAGGTGAGCAGCAGGATCTTGGGCTCCTGTAAACATTTTGGTTAAGCAACTGATTACAGAATGGCTATAAACGTCACAGGATACAGTGGTATGAGGTTTTCAGACACAGGGCTGAGGAGCCAGAGGTCGAGGGGAGGCTCTGAAGGTGGCAGCTCCTGGTTTTACAGGGGCTGAGAGGTGAGATTCTTCACAGGCGCCGTCTCTGCTTAGCTCCGGTTTCCTGGTGCCTGTGTCACCTCATGTCAGCTGTCGGTCCAATCAAAGTGACTGCTGCAACAAATGTCTGGATAAATCCTCTTGCATTCACACCCATGTTTACACAGGAGGAACCTTCCCTGCTCCTGATCTGGCTCTGGCAATCACAGCTATGACCTCTGACCCTGTGCTGTCTCCTGATATCTTAGTTAGACTTGTGTATAAACCTTAAATGTATTTATTTATTGCCACTTGGGGGGAAGATAAGCAAGTTGTAAAAGCAACGCGAACATAAATTCACCTTCTAAAGCTTATATGTTAGTTACCAAGCAGTTTGTTTGTTACCAGTTGACAGAACAACAGTACATCCACTCGGAGCTGCTGTTCCCCTGACAATATTCACTCCTCGTTTAGCTCTGTTGTGGTCTCTTGGGGGAAACATCTGGATCTTTAGCTGCTATCTTTGTCTGTCTGCTGTTTGATGCTTGGCAGGAAGTGTACAGAGAATAGATCAGAGCTTTTTCGCTGAAAGTAGCTGCCTGCTTCTGCTGGAAATGACCTTGATGAGAACACTGAGGGTGAGTCAGAACAGCATGAAGGTAATGATGTAATACTTGAAGCTGACTACTCAGCACAGTAGAAACCTTTCAAAGCAGAGGCATCATGTCAAAGTGAAGCATTTATTTCAGCCTTATCAAATGCTTTGAAACAGTGAAATTCCACAACACATGAAGACGAGTGGCCTCGATTACAAGTATTTGTATTTTGTTTTATTCATGTCATTCTAAAAAAACAAAAGTTATTAAATCAATTTAATGCAGTAAAAAGTACAATATTTTATTCTAAATGTAATAAAGTCAAAGTACTGTATGGAGTACATAATGAGTACAGATACATCAAAATAATACTTAACTATATTTACTCAAGTACTGTGTTTAATTACTTTACCCCTCTGATAAATCACAATAACAGAGAAGTCAGAGTTTGAATAAAGATCACTATGACGTACACAAGCAAAATCACCAGTTGTAAATCTCAGTGATGAGTCATATTCCAGGTTCTATATGCCACATATTCAAGGTTGCTTTAACAACCCACAATCCTGAGACATACTGGGGTTTTTCTTTTGAGCCTTGACCATGGCAGAGTCTAATCAGTGATGCTCCTGACATCACAGACTTTTCTGGGAGGTTTAGTCTGTAAAAATGTTTAATGTAATGACAAAAGGCACAAAACAGCTTTTGCATGCAGAGTGATTCCAGCATGAATCTGGAAGAGGCATCATCTCTGCTGGCTGAGTCCTGGCCTGCCACCTGAAACTCCCTACTTACCGTCAGCATTCATGATGTAGACCCCAGGGTGGTTTATATCACACTGTACTTCATTTAAAGTCATGTGGACCAACCGTTACTCCTCCCAGTCGACAGTATGTTGCCTCTCCCCACCGACTGAATCCAACTTTTTCTGCTTTATGTTTCATTTTCTGCCTCATGGGAATTCCTGAATGGAGTTGAGTGTGCTCCTGGACTTTGGTTTCTACTGTCACCTGGTGGAGTTAATTAGACATTACACATGAATATATTTATTCTTATAGTTTGTAGAAGTCTGAGACAGTCCTTGCTTTTCACTACTGCCTCGCCTTGAACGGTGTACATAAGGACTTACCGGAGGAGATTAGTTACAGTGAAGTCAAGCCAAATTTAAACAATGTGAAAAAAACCAAAGTCTTTGTTAATGCGTTTGCTTCAGAATTTATTTTCACCTTGTCTTATTTTGGAAATTCACTGATTCATCTTAACCAGGTGTACTTTATATTTCTTTGTTGTTATGTGGCAGATGTTTTACAGTAGATTGTTTACATTTACCGTTGTATATAGCATATATGCATAGTGTTACTCAGTGTTTCCAAGGGCCTCTGCTGTCCAGGTTTGTCTTGAGAAAGAGATTTTAACCACCACATGACTGGATTGGTAAAGCGACTATAAGGCGCTGGGATTTCTATTTGCCAAGTTACAGTTTTCTGTTTTCACTAAATGTCCTACTGAGCTCAGCCCACTAAACTTAATTCTTTTTGTTAAGAAGTCTAAAGTTTCCTGTTACCAAGCAGCGTTTTATGTGCTGTGTCTATTGCCAGCCCGTGTGCCACTGTCTGTTACTTGCTCCTGGGGTTACCATTGTGTTCCTGACATAAGAACAACTCATGCAACAACTTCAGCATCAAACTCTGTGGACTTAAATTTGTAGGCATTGACAGGCCAGGCAGTAAAATTCAAGGTAAGCAGATACTGTGTTTGTCTAAAATGGCTCCATATGGTTTACTGCATCCACTGTCATCAGTCTCCTTTGAAGGAAAAATCCAGTTCTCCGCAAGACAGGATCTCTCTTTTGCAAGAAGCAAGTGTTTTAAGGTCCCAGAGACTGAGAGCCAGGGAGACGTGTGGAGCATCAAGCCACCAGATTTCTCCCCTAAACTGTACCGATCTTTGTCAGTTCCTCAAAAAGAAGTAAGAAAAACAAACCTGCCTGTACTGCAACCGAGTGAAGCAAAGAGGAAGACTGGGATATATTTACCAAATGCGTTACATGAGAGTACAAAAAGGAAACACCCCCCGAAGTTCATCACATCGTACAGGCCTCCTGATGCTCTGGAGTCTGAGCTGATGTTTGTGAAGACAGGGAAGTATTCCTGTGAGCCTCACAAGAACCCTAAGCCTTACAACTTCAGACCAGTAAGTATCTGGAAACACAGAAAATAGACAGACATGACAGTCGTACACATTTCACCTTTAGATTGTAATAAATAACGAAAACACAAGATGGCAGTAAACGCAAACCAGATGATCTCTCACTTCAGCTTGATGAGACCCTTCCAGATATAGTAACTACATACGAGAGAGATCCTGGTAACCTGAAATTAAAATTAAAGCACCTGGACATAAGTAAGTGGATTAATTTGTTCTTTATTCCTTCATTTTCTAAGTTAATGTTGGCTGAATGCTACCTTTTCATTTCTAAACTGTACCAATTATTAAAACAAAGAAGAAGTGCTTGTTATTTGAAAATGGGTTCAGTGTATTGGGGAAGAGTGTGTCCTACTCTATCTACCCCAGTGACTAAATTAATATCTTTTCTTTTCCAGTACAGACCACTAGACCTGAGTCAGGCTTTAGTCTGAGGGAGACAAAGGCAAGGATGGACACATATAAACCTGCAGAGCCTAAATGGGATGTGAGGCTCAGACTTCCTCAGCTGCCCTGGCCTCCAAAATCAGCTTCCTATACAGTCAGTAACTGGTGTTTTAGCATCACGTCTGATCACTTTGTCAGTTATTGTCAATTCAGTTCAATTCAATTTTATTTGTATAGCGTCAAATCACACAAAAGTCATCTCAGGATGCTTTACAAAGTAAGGTCTAGACCTTACTATTACTACTACTACTATTATTATTATTATTATCGAGGAAAACCCAACAAATCCCCCTTAAGCAGTACTTGGTGACAATGGGGAGGAAAAACTCCCTTTAACTGCAGAAACCTCCGACAGACCCCGGCTCTTGGTGGGCGGCCTTCTGCCTCGACCGGTTGGGATGAGTGGATAGAGGAGAGAGAAAAGAAAAGAAAAGCAACAGGACACAACAAACAGGTCAAGTTCATGTGCCTGATGACTGCTCATCAGAAACATAGAGCTCCAGAGCCAGGGCTACCTACAGAAAAGTACAGGGAGAAAGAGAGGACACACTACGGGAGAGAGGAGACACACAGTTAGTGACACGTAATGGTGGCATATAGATGGATGGAGAAAGAAGAGAGGAAAGAAGAGAGGAGAGGAGATCCACATCATGGGATGACCCTCAGTCTAGGCCTATAACTAGGGGATGGCACACCAAACCAAACTTATCCTAGAATAATTTCACAGACACCACTACATGGGCGCAAGCGAAGGCCAACCTGTTGACTAGAAACCACTGGCACAGTTAGATACAGTATATTCGGGGGCAACAGGATGACCCAAACCAAGATGGCTGTCATTAATCCTTGTTCAGTCACATTAGTTGTTCTGATGCCATGAAATATCAGAAGATGTATCACAGCATACTAAATACTTTTCTGCCCTCACTCACTGTCTGGCTAGGATTATATTGAAAACAACAATATTATATTAAGCTAAGTGTAAGCTTTATCAAAAAGGAAAGTCTTAAGTCTAATATTAAAGGTAGAGAGGGCATCAGGCACAAATCAAATCATGTCAAATCATTGTGCTGTAGGAGTGATAATTTAAAGATAATTTACTGTGATTACAGTGCTCATGTGAGAGCTACACATTACATGCAGTAGTAAAACGTAACTAATGACATTTTATCAAGTGCTATACATTACTTAGGTACAGCTAGGTACACTTCCCTTGAATACTTCCATTTTGTGCTACTTTATATTTTACTCTACTGCATTTCAGAGGCAGGTACTGGGCTTATTACTCCACCACATGTATCTGACAGCTGCAGCTACTTTGCAGATTAAAATTTTACATACAAAACATATGACGAAGTTATAAAACATGTTGCATTGTTGTACATTTAACTACTCTCCAGTATATGAAGCAGTTAAAATGAACTTCATCTCAACCAGTGACATTAAACCGTCACTTACATATTATTACATCAATAAATATGATCCAGTAACTACTCTTCACACTTTGTATTGCTAATACTTCTATACTTAAAATTTTGAATGTAGTTTTTTTAAAACTTGTAATAGAGTACTTTTACAGTGTGGTTTTGCTACATTTTTCTTGAGTAAGTGATTTAAATACTTCTACCACTACGTTTTTAAACTGTACAAACACATACTAAAAAAATGACATATAGCAAAATTACAATTATAACCAGCAAACGACAGGGTTTCTGGTGCGCTGTTAGATTTTGTCATTACTTACAGTTATAGGAGTCTAACTAGTGGAAACAGTCATAGTTATCACTGACAACAGCTCAAACAGCATGGAGATACATTTATATTAATATTACAGTCTGCTTCACAGAGACACCGGCGAAGAAGGGGCGCACACAGTGCATTCTTGGACCGGGTGGAGGAGAAACTCTCAAAATCCTGGAAAAGTAGACCACGACTCTATGTTTAGCTCTGTCTATCACTGTTGGTACAAATGTATACTGTATTTGCATTCTTTAATGTAATGTGGTAATTTAGAGCCACACAATACTACATTTTGCGCCCTCTTGCCTGTAGAATTACATATAAGCAGGACAGCGTTAATGCCTTCTTTAGCTTCACATTAAACACATTAAATACTGTATGTTCATTAGAGGCCCCTGGTAATTGGGCTAAACTCAAGAATTCCATAATTTTTTTATTGTTAATGAAAGGTAAAGATCCTTTAAACTGCACAAGAGTCAAGTCTCTTTCCTATATGCAGATGTCAAGGCTTTTACCAAAGAGCTAGCTAGTAAACAAATACTAAACTAAGATACTGAGTACACAGATAATAGATTACTATATAACCAATTATGTTAAAGAACAGCATAGTACTGGCAGATTGAGGGGTGGCAGTGCCAAGGGTGGTGAACAGGGTCGACTGGAAGTATCAGTTTAGTGAATAAAGGTTTTCCTTTACACAAAATCATTGTTTGTGTTGGCTTGTATTCCCATACCTGCCAACTGTCTTGCACTATATAGTAGATGTACCATGTATCTGCAAGTATTTAATTGTGTTATTTGTCATCAAGAGCTAGAAAATTACTGCCAAAATACATGCAGTGACTGGTGTAACGAAGGTCATCACAGAACACCGTGTAGGCTGGGCCACAGACAGCTGCTCCTTTGGTACCCCAGGAATTATAATCATGTGAAGTGAAGCCTGCACATGTTTGAAGCACATATGTATTTAATGAGCCATGCAATTTGTACATAACTCTTGGACTAAATATAAAATGAAAGGGATATCAGTCACTGCATTAAAAAGCATGCCATGTGTTTTACTTACTTTCACCCCGGGTTATTCTCTCCAGTGCTGAGCACTATTATGAACTAGATGTACTTCAGCATGAATAATGGGGCTTGTATTTACTTTTATTATGTTTTTTTTACAGTGCGTCTTGTGCTAAATGGGCCAAACCAGTATAAGGAAAACACAAAAAACAGCCTAAGTCAAGAGAAGAACTATGAAATATCAATGAAAGGAGCCAGTTGAGGTAGTTAGGGGCAACTTATCAGGATGCCTCCAGGGCGCCTCCCTTTGGAGGTCTTTCAGGGCGCTATTAAAAGTTAATAATGAACAGCTCACTTTAAGTATTAATTGTGGTTAACTGACTAATATTAATGAAACGACTCTATTTATTGACATAGGCTACTTCCTGTGTCCAAATGGTTGAAGGAGACAGTAGCAGGTTATGTAAGGCAGCCAGCCACTGGCCAGAAGCCAGACACTGTTTATCCTCCGTGCACGACGGGCTGCAGTGAGCGCTGCTTTTCCTGCTCTTTGACCAATCAGTTCAAAGAAAAACACACGGGTGAGCGGGCGGGCGCTGCTTCACACACACACACACACACACACACACACACACACACATTGCATACGGACACGTATCTGTCTGTACACACGCAAACAGTCCTGGTAGGTGAAACGCGAGCTGACTCACAGGTAGGTTACATTTTACACTTCCTAGTAGCTAATTTAGCTCTGCGCTGTGTTTTCGTACTATTTCACAATCCGTTTATGGTTTAACATGGGCTTCAAAACACCGCAATGAAGGCTCATTGGCTACTGCTACTATTGGCCTGAATATCCATTAGAAGAAGATTTAAAAAGTTATTTTGTGCTCTTGCTCTAGATTTTCTGTCAACGGGCCTGTATGTGTCTGCAAGTTGTATCTGAGATTATGAACACCATCAAATAACAGCTACACTTTCTGGACTGCTTGTCGTTGTGTAAACGTGCAGTGGTATATAGAGGCATATAGCCTAATATGTGGGCTACTCAAGCAGTCTACATACTAGTATACAAGTATAGTACACACTCAAGGTATTTGTAGGCATAATAATGAATATAATATGCATTTTTCTGGATTGAGTGCCAAAATTTAATAGGAACATTTTCTTCATCGTATTAACATTACTTACAAGCAAAAATGTCATATGTTTGCTGCTGGTGCTTTTCTTTACTATTAACGTTACAGTATAGTAAACTGAATAAATGGAGCCATAACATTTTCAATAAAGGAATTTAAAAGAAGAACTTTCCCCGCTACTGCACATAAACAGATTTAAAATGGAATGTAACTTTGGTTATAGGAACTGCGTTGCTGCGCTTCATGTTGTTATATAGAGAAATTTGACCAGCTATCCGTTTGCGGCTCAACAATTATAAAATGCCATGTAAAATGGTGTGACAGATAATCAGAGCAACAGGTGATCCTGATTCCCGGGCGGGACGCGTGATTGACCGCCGTGTCAGCCAATCAGCTGATAGAGATCAGAGTTCTGGCACCAATCGCAGATGTCCGCAGTGTCCGTGTGGGCGTTGTTCCAGACTGGACTCTCACACAGCAGCAGTGTCATCAGCGGTAGATCCACACAGGACACCGAGGACACAGACGGAGGGTTTGTCCGCCTTTGGCGAGGATTTTTTTCCACCCTGTCGTCGTTGCCAGAATAAGAGGTGGAAATACACCGGGAGTTGAGCTGAAAGAGAGGACCGCGATGCCGTACAGAGGAGATTAGCTTTAAGGTGGGCTCCACAGATAGCTCAGACTGTAGGTAACCAGTTTGGCTTGGAAATAAAAATGCGTTTATCTATACTTGTCAGTCTTCTATAAATTCAGTGCGGTCTCATATCCAAACAAAGTAGCCTACAAAGTAATTGGGGGCGAAATGCTATTTTCAATACAATTAAGGTATTATAGAAAAATTACAGCAAAACTAGCAAGCAGGGCCCTGTAGGAATGTTCAGTGACGCTGTACAAGATAAGTGAAATATACTTATTACTGTATTAGGCTATAAAGGCGTTATTTGGGACTTCCACGTTGATTTTAGCAAAATAATGTGCCTGTCAACGCTATATTACGCAACTTTAGGCTTCAGGGTTTAGTCTGAATGCAGAAGAATAGCTGGATAATGCTATGACTCAGTTACAGCTGGGTAATATATCAGCTTATTGATACATTGATACAGATATCGTGTGCTTATAGCCTACAGCTCAAATGTCTTACCTTGGTCTTTCAGGCTTCATCAGTCACACCTTTAAGGACTTCTGTTGTTTGCTCATCATGTCCACATACATGTGAAACAGCAGTCATTCCTAAAACGTCTCCTTATTTTCAGTATCAGTAAGTTCAGTTAACAACACTGGTACTTTTAGTTTATTGCGTGCAGATGTAATGTTAAATGTGTTTTCAGTGCTCAGTTGACATTGCAATTTGAATGCGTTTCCACCAGTTGCTTAATTGTGTAATATAAAATCTGTGTTATTTGCTTAATTATGGCTGCATTTTGCTATTTGACAAAAGTGTGTGTCCTGTTTGGCACGGGGCAATGATTTATTGGGTTTATCAGAGCAAAGTTGTTTACAGCCTAATGTGCAGTCCAGCAAATAAAAATATATCTAATAGAGGCTGGATGTTAATTCTCTGAGTTCATGAGTATTCATGTTATATCACCACGTGAGATAATGTTAGTGTAAAATGTGGATTAATGCAGCTTTAAATGACAGTTTTGTAACCTTTGAAAAACAATGTAACCGTCTTCCTCTTACAAGTGAAAGGTTGAATTCATAAACAATAAAACAAACTGTTGCTGAAGTCCTACTACTGCCTGACCTGGTCTGGTATAACCAGTAACTTAAAGTGGCTAATGCAAGCAAACGTTAGATGAATATTGTTGTATAACTTACAGTACATTGCTCAGGTGACTCTGTGACTCTTCTCTATGCAGTTAGTTTTACCATGTTTTAGCTCATTCAAATTCGATAATGATGAGAATCTTGGGGAATACAGGGAAACTGACTTGGTCCTATAAATTGTCACCTGTGGTGTTTTTCAGTAAAGATTGCACAGTCTAGCTTTAAGTGCTGCTGTCTCTTTAAGCCCGGGTGTCACCCACAATAACGTGTGATATGCTTTCAGGTGATTGCTGCAGTTGTTCTGGACTATAAGCAACTCTGAGGATTATTCCTGTGCAGCTGGATCAAACTTCGTACATCACCAGTCCTTCCTCATGAGGAAAGATGGGGAATGGCTTGTCGGAACAACCTAGCTTCATCTCAGCTGTCCCATTCTTCCAGTCTTTTCACATCGCCATCCTGGGGCTGGACTCTGCAGGGAAGACCACCGTTTTGTACAGACTGCAGTTTAATGAGTTTGTCAACACAGTGCCCACCAAAGGCTTTAATGCAGAGAAGGTCAGAGTGTCTCTGGGCGGCCACAGGACTGTGACATTCCACTTCTGGGATGTCGGTGGTCAGGAGAAGTTGCGCCCCCTGTGGAAGTCATACACGCGATGCACAGACGGCATCATATTTGTTGTGGACTCTGTGGATGCGGAACGCATGGAGGAGGCCAAAACAGAGCTCCATAAAATCACCAAGACCTCTGAAAACCAGGGGGTGCCCCTGCTGGTGGTGGCCAACAAACAGGACTTGAGGCACTCTTTGGGACTGGATGAAGTTGAGAAATTGCTGGCACTGAAAGAACTGGGCCCCTCAACTCCCTGGCATCTGCAGCCAGCCTGTGCAATCATAGGAGACGGACTCAGGGAGGGCCTGGAGAGACTCCATGACATGATACTTAAACGGAGAAAGGTGCTCAGGCAGCAGAGGAAAAAGAGATAAACTTGTCATGAGATAGATTTATCTGTTTTATGTGAAGGAAACAAAAATGTTAAAGGATTCAAACTTCTGCTGCGGAGTCAACACAGCAAGTTTTATCAGTGTAAAACTGAACTGTAGGCTTCCCGGTGTTGGTCATGTGATGATGCTATTGATCAGGAAGTGATGCATTAAGGAATACAGTATGAAGATGAGAAAGTCTCAGACATGTGTGGATGTGACAAAGAGTTTATATAGATTAAAAAGCACAGAGGGTTTGGGGTCTGGTGGGCTGACAGAAGATGTTTTAAGGATGCTGTGTGCTTCATTCATGGCTAATGGCTGTTCTGAGCCATTTTACCAAAAATAACTTAAGCAAAAGCTGAAGGGTTATTGATCACTGTTATATCAGAAGGGCAATGAAAAGATCTGTTTTATATGTTATCATAATTTGTTTACTTTATACACTGGACTTTGTAAAAGTATTATCATGCATTAACGCATTGTAATTGATTTGCTTGCTGTCTTATATCTTTTTTTACAAGCACTTTAGGTGGTCAGTTTGTATGAAGTTTACAGTTTTTAAGTAGAGCATATTGTGTTGGATTTTACAGAATTGTTAAGGGCAAACACAGATTACTGTACAGTAGATGGTCATTACTGGCCACATTGTCACTAGACAGGTGTTTAGACATTATGTTTTTCTAAATAAAACATATCTAGAGCAATACTGACAGTGGTATGGAGGCTGGTATTCAGGAACTTATATTCAAAAGGCTGCCATGTGAAGATGTTCAGAATAGGAGTCTTCAGTACATTTTTACAATAGCAGGTTTCATCTTTTAAGCAACTTGTTTGAATCTGAAGAGGGGTGATTTTTGCAACAAGCAGTGGAGGCACCCCCTGACATTAACAGGAGAAACAAAACACAAGCTCAGTCGACCTCTTTTAGTTTCACTTTAAACAATGTTGTACCAAATGTATGCTCTGTGTGACACTATGCACATGTCGTGTAATTAACTAAATATCTACAGAAATAGGTAAAAAAAAAAAAGTGTAAACATAATTTCACAGTCAGCTGCAACAGTGTGAAGGGCTGACACACTGCAGCACAGACAGGCCATATTCATGACTAGAAAATGTTGTCAGGGCGGTCAGGAAGACCCAGTACAACAGGCTGGAGCATGAGTCTGCGGAGCCAGGGCCTTTACTGAGTATTTTTGGACTGAGCTGGGTGGATATGGAGCCCAGTGTATTAAGGCCATGTGCTCTCTCATTCTTTCAGAACTACTAATGATTGGGAGCCCACTAGGCCAGTGCAGCAGCTGGCTTTCTAAAATAACTGTGTGATGCAGAGTGATAGTTTGCACTACTCACTGGCCAAATCGCTAAAACGTCGTCTTCTTATAAATATCTGCTCCAGTTTAATGTGATAACCTTGATGTGGGGTTTTGGTGCTGTATCTCAGGGGGTCTCTTCCATCTAATAATAGAAAGAAGTGTGTCAATAGCACTAGATTTCACACATCTGTGTGAGTTCAGGGCTACAGCACAATATAACTGATTAAACATTTTTGGTGGATTTTATGACTTTATCATCAGATAAAAGCATGGGAAACGGGAAACAAGATAGGAGGGATGACATGCTGGATTTGAACAGAGTGATACGGTCACATGGTTGCTAAGCTCGCAGAAAGCCATATTTTTGTCAAATGGTAATGAAGCATGTTTTTGTGTTGGGAGGCCCAGGTGCCCATTCCCAACGTGTTTGGAAAAGGAAACTTTCCAGACAAAGGAAACTCAAGGGCAAAGGCGTATTCACACTTTTCCTGATTCTACTTTCTGTTCTCTCTGAGCTGCATCAGCTCTGTGTGCGTGAGACGGTAAATCAGTTCAAAAGTCCTGTCCTGCTCTCTGTTGTTGTCCACACCTCAGGTCATTTCCTCTGATATGCTGAAGCACTCAGAGGATTACGGTTATGTTACTGGCTCAGTGAATCAAAAAGCTTATTCCCTTTTTTGTGCTTTATTTTTGCTGACTCGGTTTAATATGTCTGAAACCTATGGAGAGACTATACCCACCACAGTCACTTCTTCGCTTGCTCATATGTTTTTCCTGTGTGTAAAAAAGGCTGCCTCTATCTCTCTCGCGTCTTGCGAAAGGTGGATTAGGGTGAATAAATCTCTGGTCCCAGGGGCCATCCATTAACTCATTAACCTCTCGTGGTGTGTTTGGCACAGGAACACTAAACAACAAAATAAAAGCGCGATGCACTGCCTTCTTGTCTTGTTTGGAGCAGCTCATCCATACACGACTTCCCAGCCAGTACTGCTTTTATGCTGCGCTGGCACCATCCCAGCTGCTCTTTCTAAGAGACACCTCAGGCATGATTGAGTTTGGCAGTGACTTTCCAGGTTGGGTGGCTTAGCTGTAAAACTGTACAGAATGTTCCACTGCACCTTTGGAGAGAATGTGTGCTGCAAATTGGAAGGAGGTGCTGATAACAGACAGATTTCCCCACATTGTAAATTCTAATGTGAGTTTTTTAAATGATATTCCTACTGTTGCTCAACATAGACACACCCTTGAAACATTCAGCACATGAACACAAGTTATCAAGGAGTTCACAGATAATTATACAATACTACTCTATACTTTCGGTTTGTGTTATTTGAACTTTGTCAGTTTGATAGGGCAGCTGGCTGCAAACTCTATGATATGATCTTTAGCCTCTGTCACTAGGAACATGTAGCAAACTCATGACGCTTTGGTATCATAAAAACAAAATGCCACACCATAGCTATAGTAACAAAGCTAAGCTTTTCTGTGCAAAGGCTTGTATCTTTGACTTTTTTTTTATCAACAAGCCATTTATTTTTATAGATTTAGCACCTTTTGTACAGGAAATGCAACCACCAGAGTTTCATGTTCATTCAAGCCTGATCAAACTGCAGCTACCTGGAGTGCAGAAACTGAACTGTTTTACTTCCTAAACCTGGATGCCCAAAATACAATAACTCCTCTCACTTTACTATTCTATAGATGTACATAGGTGATTGCAGTGTTTTTCCCATTATGCTACCCCCACCCACAGAACATACAGTATGTATGTGCAAGTTTTTCAGCAAATAGGATGAATATGAGATGAAGCTGAACCAACCAAAGTGAAATAAATTAGCCTAATAGCAATCAACTGGAAAGAAGTCAGCAGTTTGTGTCTATGTTGGTTAAAAAAAGCAATGACCAAAATGAAGCAATAGGTAAAATTCATTTTTCAAAGTCAAAAACAAACCAAAAAAAAAACAGTGTTCATGCAAACTGCAGGCATTTGGTGTGCAAACCTGCACAGCAATTTGTCTGATTCTAAGCCTGACAGGTAACTTGTTGCCTTATTTTTCATGTTTGCCAGTGATGACAAAGGTAGCTTTGAAGAAAACAACAGGTTCTAAAAAGAAAGGTTGCACAGTCACAGTTGACTTATTAAATAAATATACTGTATTTATTCTGGCCAGAATGAATTGTACATGTCAAATCATACTGAAGACACAGCTCTACACAGATAGTTCTTAAACCAGCATGTTATCAGACCAGAGGACCTTGGGAGAACCAGTTGAAGTCAGCTTCCCCATAGACATACTGTATGAATGTCAGGATGCTGATTGACCACCTCATTATCTTAACTAACAGAACTAAAACTTCTGCAGAGAAAGAATATTTGTATCTTAACTCACCGGAAGTCATATGACGTATATATTCTCTCACAGCCACAGATACAAACATTCACTGGGCAGGCTGATGTGGCCAGTTTCTGATGAGCAGTCACTGGCCACATCAACTTGCCCAGTGTTTGATTGTTTGCTGTTGTGTTTGTTGTGTCTTGTTGCTTTTCTTTCCTTTTCTCTCACCTCTATTCACTTAGCCCAACTGGTCAAGACAGAAGGACGCCCGTCAAGAGCTGGGGCCTGTCAGAGGTTTCCCTACCGGCTGTTGCCAAGTGCTGCTAAAGGGGGATTTGTTGGGTTTTCCTTTATAATAATAATAATAATAATAATAAATAATAGTAAGGTCTAGAACTTACTTTGTAAAGTATCCCAAGACGACTTTTGTTGTGATTTGACGCTATACAAATAAAACTGAATTGAATTAGATACGATGCTGGGAACGCCAACAGCCATAAACTGTGAAGAATACAAGATGATAAATGTGGTTATCGATGTTCCACATCCAAGGTGCCAGTTTCACTACTTTTTAAACTAACCTCTGTCCCACTAGTCTTACTCCAGAATATACTGTAAAAGAGTATTACTATTATACTGATAAGTAAAAGTGATAAAATAGTAATTAATTTCTTAGCATCTCATGAGGTACAAAGCTGAAGCTGTATTTGTAGAATGCTATAAATTCATTTGTCTTGTCATTGGTTTTCTTTAAAGAAACAGAGAAAAGATGAACACATTAAGAAATTACAGTACACTGAGCAATGAGACCAAGAAGTTAATCTAGAAGAAGGTGGGATTTCCACAAGACGCAATTGGGAAATTATGGCAAAGAATGCATGAGCTAAAAGGGAAAGTGGACTGGATATAGGACTGTGTGTGAGACCGTGTGTAAATGCGTTTTTACTGACCCTGACCCCTGGCTACGGTGTTTACAACTGCTCACGCTCAGATGTAAACACATTTGTAAAGAATCCTGAGAAGTCTGAGGGCTTCTTTTGGAGTTAGAGGTTATGGATCTTGGCATGTTTTTGGTGTAATTAAACTGCTGGTAGAAGAACACTCCTGTTCTGCATGGCCATGATAAAGGGAATATTTGTGTCTAAATGCATGACTGCATTTCCCCCTAAACCCATCTCCAGGGGGCTCTCTTTTAATGCTGAGTTTTGTGGTTTATCCTGTTGTGTACTTAAAAAGGGGACACTGCAATATATGCATCTCCTAGCCTGCTTATTATGCAAGGTTATCATGACGGCATTCATTTTTCTTCCCCGAGTCTATTGAGAGCGAGTGGCCTATTTACATGTGAATTCCTCTTGCAGCCCTGCAGCCTCGCTCAAAGTAGCGAATGGGGCCACCTGCAAGGGCAGAGGGAGGAGGAGATGCTGCTTGAGGAGCTGGAGAAGTGTACTCCTGTTTTCTTTGGTGCAGAGAAGAGAAGCTGGTTGCATTAATCCGTAAGATCCACAGAGACAGAAAGAGCGACCTAGTGCCAGAGTGAACAGAGGAGAAACAGAGGTCATGTTTTATTAATACTGACTTTATATATTGGGACAACTGTAAGATATTTATTCAGAATATTTTATGGTAATGAAAAATACTAGTTTCTATTAGAATTTCTATTTTTGAAAATGAACAAATGGCTGAGCAAATATGTAGTTTAGGTAATATTCTTCTAATATGCTTCACCAAATGTAACAGAAAACAGAGATGACAACACAGCATCAATACATTTCATGAGCAAAGCACAAGTCAGCAGTGACTTTGGAGAGAGAGTTGAAATGAAAAGTAGACTTTCATCTGCATACCTGTTTGTACTATTCTTGCAAAGTCAACCCACAAAAATCACTTCAGGTTCAAACTGGGTATACAAACGAGCAAATTACAGGCAGTTGTATCAGTCAACTTATGGACAGAACATTAAAATCTGCTACATTGTCATAGGAATGCTGTGATAGCCTGCACCAAAATCTGCTACTCTTTGGGCTTCAAGCAAAACTAGGGTTAGCAGTTAC